ATTCTACTGTCGATAGTAAATGAGTTAAATGCTTCGGTATCGCGATGAAAGCTTCATAGAATATTCATAAATTCCACCCGAACCAGGAAGTTTGAAGAGGAACGTTTGATCGATTCTATTTCAATGAATAACCTATAACAATATTCGCGTATAGGTGTGGGTTTAAATGAAAAGCGCCTGTAAATAAGTAATTTAGTTTAATTATTTACTTTATAAACATAGTTTTATATTATAGAACGAGCTTCTCTTATCAATATTATAGAAACAATGTCGCTACTTTTAGTTCTTAATATATTTCTTAAAGTCATTTTAATATGTGAGTTTGAAGAATACGATGTTAATATCTAACGGGTGTCTTTGTAGTTTATTTCCGAATTGAAATCTGTTATCTCAGTTTTCGCGCGTAAGTTTAAGGCTTGAAGACTTATTTACTTTATTTAATAAACTCCTGTCCGAAAAATTACAGTTAGAATTTTCTCCTTTCATTGGCACTCACTTTCACTTTTCAACTCAAATTGCAGCACGTCACATAAAGAAAGGAATCGCACTCGAGGACGCTTTAAGCTACGTTTTGCTGAAAAATCGCTGAAGTACAAAAACTACGTTCAGCGTAAAAGAAAGTCTGTAGTACAGACGCCCATTGATCACGGCGCGAGGCGCCAGCGAAAGCGAATTCTACGTAACGGCTTAAGCCAAAAGGGCGTAAAGGCTTCATACGGTTAGACGAAACTCGAATCGAGTGTACAAAATTGTGTAACATTTTATGGTTGAATGTTCGGTATTGCTTGAATTTCTTTTATCGTCTATTCGTGTATTGTATGTAGTAGATATAGAGGTGACTAAACAGTTTGTATTGTTTTGTTTTTAATCGCTAACGTTTTGGGTAAAAGTCAATAATTGTAATTGAAGTAGAGTCTTTAGCATATTGTAAGCAAAATGTAGATATTTAAACGTATATTTATTTACTTATTTGATTATTGTAAAGACATACAGAGGGTGAGGATATCGTATTCTTTGCAGTATCATAGTATTCACGTATCGTATAACAAAAGCTCGTAGTTACTCCTTTACATTTGTTTTTGCCGCGTCTGTGTCGTTCCGTCGTCGTTCCAACATAAACATTTTCTTTGCTTTAATTGTAACAACTATTTGTATAGCTTTGTATTTTCTTTTATTCAGTTTTTATTGACTCTTTTGTGATTTTTTTTTGTAGTTTTATTGACTGCTAATTTGTACGTATAGTTAATTTTATTTTTGTTGATTTAATTCATAAAATTCAAGTTACTGTTTTAATTACTTTACCATTTTAATCATAGGTATCGTCAATGTTGCCATGGTGATTTGTTTTGTAAAATATTGTGCTTGTTTTCGAAATTAATTTACATCTGATCGGGATAGAATTAAAAATGAATAATTAAATTTTCGATAGCAACACTCTTATTGAAATATTGGCATTGCAGCTCGAGATAGGATTACAGGTAATATGTACAGGTGCAGGTATCGAGTCCTGGGTTGATTAAAATAAACGTTGCATGTAATCCGAAGTAAACCGTTTACGCGGGAAACGGGAGCGGAAATCAAACGCCGCCATATTGGATGCGGAAATGGCGCGCTCAGCGACGATGGCCGTTATTCGATTTCGTCGCTCTTGAAAATAAATTATAGTATACACTTTTCAGGCTTTCCAGGAATTTGCCGTTGGCGACAAACGTTAATTAACACGTCGCTTATAAAATAATTATTAAACCTGTGATGTTAAAACTCAAATATTATGTTGTTGTTAGAACAAAAGTAAAACAATGAAAAGGAGCTATAATACCAAATTTAAGAAAAACACTGTTATTTAAAAATAATGACAAATGTCGTAATGCAAACAAACAATACATTAAATCTGATAAACAACCTCATTTACAGTTTGAGTGTGCATGTATTTTAAATCGGTCGCCATCCTAAAAGTTCCAACAAAATCTGCCTAGTGGCTTAGGAATGGATTGGAAGCGAGCAATTAGTTAAGTCAAGGACTACTTGCATAATTACAACAGTACTTATTAATTAAAATGAAATATTTCAGTAATTAATTTGATACTGCAAAAACCTTATAGTGTACGTTACATGCAGTGTTTCAATTTTTCACCCACGACCCGGTTTGCTGCAATTCTCGGTACCGCTAATTATAAAATGCTAACGGGTTCAACGGTTCCTAGTTCTTTTTAATTACACTTTAATGCCCTTTTTAAGTTGCAGTGCTGGTATGGCGGTTAGGTCAAACTTGTACATCTGACAAATGTTCGTTAATGAAGCAGGAGCACAATAACCTAGGATATATCTAATACAATTTTCCTACTTTAAAAATGTCATCTTTCTGGATCAATACAAATAGGTTAATTCAAATCGCCCTAAACCCAAGACAGCAAATAATCATTTAAAAACCATTCGATCTGGCTAAATTCTAGCACAACTGCATCACTTCTATATCCCTTTTTCTTACTTCTGACATACGTTATATAAAATTTACTTGTAAATAAATGTACATTAGGAATATACAGATATACAAAAGCTCAACGACTAATTGACAAAAACGTGATACACAGGTAACGAAATCAGGAGTACGATCACGTGCGCCTCGGGCGCTTGTTACGTATTCCAGAATTGCTGCCATTATCGTGACGCTTTTTTGTAACAAATTCACCCTGTACACACGAACTGATTTGTATGAGTTTGTATGACACGGGGACATGTGTAAGCGTTACATATATTGAATATTATTTCAATACATTGTTGAATTTGTCCTTTTTATAATTGAATACTATTGTAGTTCTTTTAGGAGGCAAAAGAGAAGCCTTCACTTGGACTACAAATGACACATTTTACACTTTTTTAATTAGTATTTGTTAAAAACTACATCAATGTAGATATATGTACAGTTATATGCAAAATACAGATAGAAATAAAATCAATCAATAGACTGGACGTAGCCGGAACTCACTAGAAATATTTAAAACCCGATTACGTAAAGCAAACTTAATCTCCAGAGTATAGTGAAATAATACACTTTCTAAAGTTTAATAAAAAAATATAATAAAAAAAACGAACTTATTAGATTAATGAGAAAATACGACTAAACTTACATTATACATTAGGTGTAGCCAACGAACAATTTCGGACTCGTAGAGGACCTTCATCAGGATGAGTGATTTATGAGGTCATGCTGAGAACTTATTGTTTAGTATACTTATATTTCAATTTGGAAAGGTCAATATTCAGAAATAAATTTCCTATCTGATTGATGGAGGAGCACAAATATTATAATAGAATTCTTAAGAGGAAGCAATCAATTTCTCTCGAGTTCGCATCAACTTCGTATTAAGGGTTCTGTTGAAATTCTCCGTAGCGTAATGATGTGGATGAGGGATTTGAAAGGCGTATTCGATTTAGCGAACGTCAAAGCTTCGGCAGAAAACCTTGCTTGCATACAATTTAATTCTCAGAGATACTCGGAGGATTGATTTCCTTTAAAACTCTTCCTCTACGAAGATACCGGAATAAACAGCGATAGCAAACAATATTTGATTTAGACTTATAGATTTTAACAAGTTTGATAGACTTGTACAAAATATCTGTACTCTGTACTTAATAACATAAAGCGTAAACTGATACTGGAACACTACTTCGTGACGTTGGATCAGCAATCACAGCATATTTTTGAATAATCCTCTCTTTAACAAAAAGCCCTACACTTACGTCACGCTTTAGGCTATATATTTACACTTAGGGGGTAAATAAATTGAAAAAAAAACCTACATGTGGGAAAGGGACTATAAACTTCAACTTGCCAATATTAAGGAACCAAGGTGATTGTAGTAAAGGTAATTTGGACATTAGCAATTAAAAAATTGACAATTGTTAAGAATAAAATAAAGTTTTTATGATTGCATGCATATTAAGCCACACGGGAATAGATAGTTTGTTATAAATGCAAATCGTGTATTTTACTAACATCGTATCATTTGACATACAAATGTACGAGTTTTTCCGCTTTTTTTGCAACGAAGCAAAATAGTTCCTGATTATCTTTCCAACTAAGAACTTCTTGACGAATTGTTTTTTTTTTTGTAACGTTTAGTGGTAGGATGAGGTTTACGAACAATTAATTTGGGATTATAATTTACTCGTATCGCTTTAGTAATACGGAAAATCGTTTAATCTAGACTCTACCCTATTTTATGTGTAAGATTCCTGCATATTTTATTACATTATAACCCTTTGTAATAAGGTTAGACCTTTTAATATGATATCAATAGCGGGTTTAGTGTAACATTACGTCGGTAGACGCGGTAATGGCCGCGGTCGTTAAGCCAAATAGCAGGTCTTATTAAGCCTTCCCTTCTGTTGAAAATTACACGATGTAACGTTATTCTATTGTTAACTTTATTTTGTATTCAGTTTTCTTGGCAATAAAGATCGATAAAGAGAGCCTTAGCTGGTTTTTACTGAACTGGAGAATGTGATAAAACCCGTTATGTTTTCTATCGTTGTATGGAAAGTGAGAAGACTATTTTTTGTACGTAACTAAACTTAAAAACTACTAAACAATTGAAAAAAAATCTGTTATCATTTAAAAGCTACGTTACCATAGTCTATTATTATACTCGTATTGTTATAAGATATTTTAAATTAAGGTCGGAACACTAGTAACAGTGAAGTATTAAGTAACTAGTTGTCGCCCGCGACTCCGTCCGCGTGGAATAAAAAAAATAAAAGTGAGTAGCCTATTTGTTCTTCCAGAGTATCCTATACATCTATGCAAAATTTCATCAAGATCCGTTCAGCAGGTTAGGCTACAAACTCTAACAAACATCCATCCATCTAAACTTTCGCAATTATAATATTAGTATGATTAAGAACTGTCTACCCAAGTCGATATTTTCAAATGAGACTTTTTATCAATCAACCTAGTATTGATTTTTGTTTACCTTGCTTATTCTTGATTTTCTTTCCAGCTGCTACTCCATACCGGCGAATAACATGTCCGGTGGCTCGCATGTATCAAGAGGGACATTTGGCGGAGCGGAGTCCGAGATATCAGGGGGTAGTGCTCCCCCACTGCCCAGCCCGGCGTCAGCGGGCGCTGCGCTGGTATCTCCGGAGACGCTGAGCCGGCATAGCAGCCCTCCGCCGCTCCCCGCGCACCCCTCACACCACCAACCCGCACCATCTTGTTCATCGCATCGAGTACATCTAGAGTCGCCGTTAAGGTATCTTAAATTTTAATTCGAAATTAAATCTAGGTATATCTATACTTCTAGACTAATGTTATAAAGAGGAAAGATTTGTATTTTTAGATTTTTGTATGTATAAAATAATGTAATAATAATAAAAAAACTACTAAGCCGATTTAAAAAAATCTTTCACGATTACAAAGCTACGGTACCAATGTCTAACAGGGGCTATACTTTTTTATTATTTTTAAATTTCACGCGGCCGAAGTGCAAGCAACAGCTAGTCAAGAATAATAGCATAAAGACCTAAGCTAATGTTGAAATCGTCAAATCTTTCCTTCACGTTTCACTTATTTGAAGCAAAATTACGAACGAATGCTTGTTACATTTACCGTAAATACTATTACTAAATAGCTACACCAGCTTAAAGTTCTTTGTCTTGCAACGGTATAGGTACGGGATTAGTATAAGCTGGTATCCGATTCCTGAACTATCCAGACAGTAATAACTTTGAAATTTAAGTCGTATACAACTTTACAGTAGAATTTACGTTATAAAATGAACATTCGTTTCAATTTTAAATCAACAAATTAACTTGTTAATGAAAAAAATCTCGATAAAACTCGTAATGAAAATGAAGTCAAGTATCAAAGATGGCCGACGTTCTGGAGGACGATTGCGCTGTTGATTCGTAATTAGAGCCAATCATTACGTTTGACTGGTTTTTAAAATTGGACATTCATTTTCTGTACTTCTAGTGAACGTAATGCGGATATTTTTATGGGAATCTAGGACTGTTATTTAGGTCAATTCTGTAGTTATTTACGTGCATTAATGTAACATTTTTATTGTCCAATTGCGACGATATCTACGCCGAAATCCGCCATCTGCCATCTAAGACTATTGAATTTATTTCCACGATGTAAAATAAAAACCGTATTTGGGAGCTTTAAATCTCAATTTGGTAAATTGGAAAAACATACCATTGAAACGGGATGTACTTTCCTTTTCGGTAAGTGCTAACTGAAATGGAACGTTCCGTACGTGAGATTTATGTGTTCCCGCCGTTATCAATGTCGGATTTAAAGTGAAATTCCCACAGGAATCTAGTCTTCCTTATTTTATGCGATAATTTTTTTTTAATATTAACTTGATAAGAAGTACTTTATGTCAACTTATTTAGATATCTCGAGTAGTCGTAGACAGCTTATCCTTTTTATATACGCCATGTTCTTAAAAACATAGCAAAATTTTTCAAATCATATTCCCCAAGCTGAACTAAACTTAGAATTGAATGAAATTTCGAATTTTTTTTTACATTTAAAATTTTCAACACAAGAAGTGTTTTAATATAAATAATCACACCTAGATAAGCTGCTTCAAATGAAAAAAA